TAAGCCAACTAGTTGGCATCTAAACTAATTATTACAAACCGGGAATAAATATATCGATCGATATTCCCGGTTTTCAGATAAAAAAAACAAACATCAAAATTTTTGATTGAAAAAATATTTTCTGGTCAATTTTCATCAGTTCAAATACTGATTTGAGCACTACTGCAACGGCGAAAAAAAAACGAAAACAGGTCGATAACATCGATCAACGAATTCAAGGGGCCAACGAAAAAAAAATGAATCACACTCTTAATTAATCATCATATTTTAATTAGTCGCCATTCAAGAATCTAAATCCAGAAACAGAACCCAAAATTCATCCATTTAACAGGATGTTTGTTGATTATATATGATTTATGACGATTTGAATCTCAAAAACAACAGCAACAAACAAAAAAAAACACATCACGATCGATAATTATGGATCGAAATTTTATTTTTAACAAAAAATGTTAAAATAGCCGGATTTATTAGCATAATAACTATCGATTGTTTTTTTAAAAAATAATCGATGATTTATAATGATTATCGATTATGTGTTCATCAATAACCTATAGGTGGATGATTTATTTTGGAAAAAAAAATAAAATGAGAAAAAAAGGTTTGAAAGTCATTAAAAGTTTTTTATTTGTCGAAATTTTTTTTCTCAAACCGAAATGAAAAAAAAAATTCACAACCAAATAACCACCACATTTCCGGTTCACTATTTTTTTTCCTACACAGGGAAAATTTCTTGGAATTTTCTAGTTCAACAGTTGTTGATTTTGGGAAATTTTCCAATCATTTTGCCCAGAATACATTCAGTTTTCTTTTGTGAATGCCAATTAAAACTATTTTCTTTTCAAACTTTCAAAAACCAAAATTAAATGAATAAAAGTGACAGAAAAAAAAAACAGAACAGAAATGAAAAATTTCAAACTAATGAACATCATGAACATGTTGTCAATTGAAAAAAAAAATTTCATTTTTGAAACAGAATAACAAAAAACACACCGGAGATTGCCAGATAGAGACGAAACAATGTCCGGCAATGTGCAAAGCTATATCATTAAAACCAGCATGCTATCCACACATCATCATCATTTTATTTCATTCAAAAATTTTTTCATTTTTAAAACCATAGAATACCTGTGTGTGTGTGTGTGCAATCAAAAGTGACAAAACAAAAATTTTTTTTTCGTTCAAACAAAACGAAAAAAAGTTTGATAATCAACACACACACACACACATATCATAGATTAATTAAAATTTCTTTTTTGCCGCAAAAATGTATTAATTTGGTTGATGATGAAGCAGCAGATGTGTGTGTGTGTGTGTTATATGTCAACTTTGATCAATGCGTAAATATAGTGTGTGATTCATTTTCATTTCATTTCCATTCTTGCTGTCCGAATTTTTTGGTTTTTCGAGACCAAAAAAAAAAATGATGCCACAAAGTGTTAACCATCAATATCACTGGTGAAAATGGACCAATCCATTTTTTTGAAATTTTGGATTCGCTCAAAAAAAATCGATTGACCTGTGATGGTGGTGATGATGATGATGATGATGATGACAGGCAATACTTACCCCATCATCATCATTATTTGAATCGTTGAAAAAAAAGGGGAATCATAATCGATTCATCATCATAATTCATCGTTTTACATTATATTGATGATCGAATGATTCGTCCATCTATCTCTTACATCATTTAAATCGTTTAAAATGATGTCTCAAACACTGTGTGGTGATCCTTGATCATTTATGTGAGTAAAGAGAAAAGTCAAGTGTTTTTTCCAAGTCAAAAAAAAGAAAATTAGAAAAAAATCAGGAAAAAAACAAGGGATATAATCACATCACATCAATGGTTGATGATGACCATCAAAATACATCGAGAATCGAGCTAAATCGAACACGATTACGAATATAAGAATGGCGATCATCTTTCAAGCGTGAATTTTTCTTCTACACATACACACAATTTATCTGTGTGTAACATATTACCAAATGGTCTTAACACTTAACGGTTTTTTTCTGTGCTACTGACTGATGATTGTCCTCGCGCTCCATCACACACACACAGAAAGACAGTTTTTGATCCTGAAACAATTTTTTTTGTTTGCTTCCTGACCGAACAAGAAATCGATTGGATAACACTATCATCATAGTTGAGAAAAATTTTCATCAGAATTATTGACGAGACAACAAACCGATTGGAAACTTTTTTTTTCTTCCAACTTGCATATGACCGATCATCATCATCATGATCATTTGATGACCGAATCCGGTTATTGTCATCATCGAGGTGTTAATGTGTGTGTGTGTGTGTGTGTGTGTGTGTGTGTGTGTGTGTACATACAGTGATGACTATATCGATGCCAAGATTCAATGTGGTTCAATGAACAGCATTAACACATGAATGATAAAGGGGTTCAGGAAATGTCATCAAAGACAAAAAAAAGGAAATTTCTAAGGAAATAAAATTATAATTATAACATGAACATGATGTAAACCTAAGAAAAAAGATTGATGAGGTTATGCGGCCACCCCCCTCCATCACCCGACATCAACATTGTTAACCCATTGTTGTTGAAGTTAAATCAAAATCAAAATAAAAAAAAATGTAATATCAACGCATTTTTGTGTGATTTTCGGTTCACAGGAATTCAACATCATTTTAAATTAAATTAAATTAATTTAAAATTAAACTATACTTTATTCTACTACCCACCATAGCCTAGCAGTACTAGTGGTGGTGGTGGTGGTGGTTAGAGAATCGTTGAAATTCTTTGCTTTCGGAATGAAGAATGTTCAGGGATTTTGACCAGAAACAATTGAATTTTTTTTCAGAATAAAAAATAATTGCATTGAAATACAATGGACAACAAACAACAACAACGACAATGACAATTTTTTGAATAAGTATGGAAAAAAAAGGATGCAGATTCATTTTCTCTTTCTTCTATTGATGATTTTTGGTGGTTGGTTGGTTGGTTGTGATCTATTAGCTTTTGGTAGCTGAATAAAAATAAAAAAAAAAGAATTCTGCCTGGATAATTCTCTATATTCACATGGTGAAATGCGTGTTTGTTTGCATCCAATTCATCCATTCATCCAGTCATCCATCCATCCACATTTAACAAATATATTCAAAGATTTCAAGTATGTAGTCGTTTGTGAATTCAGTGATGCATGTAGAGCTTCGTTTTCATTTCGTTTTTTTTTTTGGTTTCTGGATTCTTGAATTGTGTGCGTGTGTGTGTGTGTGATAGGGATTTATGCCAAATTAGCTGTCCCTGGTTTTTTTTTGCTGGATAAATGAATGATGTAAATCTTGGAACGCCATCACCATCAACAGTATTTATAGATGGTCATAATGGTCAGTTGGTTGTTTGGTTGGTTGGTTGGTTGATCCTTTGAAAGTGATGAATGAAATTTGTGTACGAAACAATTGCAGCGCAACATATTTGGGTTCAATATATATAAATAAAAAGTTACACAATTCCGGCATTCCATTTGAATAAATATATGAGAGAAAATCTTGACCGAAACAAGAAAAAAAAGTTTTGTGAATATACATCTGTTTTGAATACAGAGACAGAGAGAGAGATTAGAAAAAAAACAATGTTTAACCATTGAAGTGAACATGAAACAAAATTTTTGGATCCATTATGTTTGCATTCAGAAGAACATCATGATCATCGCCATCGTCGTTGTTGAAATAATAAATGGTCAAATTCCCATTCATATATGTTTTTATGATCATCCATTGACGATGATGATTGTTCAATTTTCAATGCTATCATCATCATCATCATTGTGTTAATTGGATGACAATCTCTTGAGATTTGTGAAAGAAACAAAAAAATCTTTTACAAAAGGCAATATTATCGATATATATCGATATTTGATATTTCTTGATATATAACGGCCATGTAGAATCATTAAACTACAACAACAGCAACGAAATTTCATCTCATTTACATATATGCAATATATTCAAATGAATAGAATCAAATTGGACAACGCGGAATTGGATAGCCATCATCATCATCATCATCAGAAAATTGTGTAGATTTTTATGTTCATTTTTTTTGTACAGTACACAATTGTGTACCATTAAACATTATTGTACGAATAAAAAAAAAAAGAAAATCGCAGACAATAGACACTGTTACATCCTGCTAATGCCAGCTAGCATTTCCGGTAGAAACTAAATTTTATTTTTATTTTTTTTTTTGTTCGTTATCATCATTATTATTGGACATTTGGTGAAAATGAATTTTCAAGAGAATCTCATTAAGATTCATTATGGTAAAAATATCCATACAGTAGCCGTAGTAGTAGTGTTTAAAAGTTGAATGGAAAAAAATAAATTTTAAATGATGATTTACAAACTTTTTTTCTATTCCATAAGGAGCAATTTTTTGTCGTCGTCGTTGTTGTTGTTGTTGATCAAAATGATTTGAATTTAGTAAAAGTCAGTCTCCATTTATTATATAACATATGTGTGTGTGTATGAGTGCATTTCGATAAGTGTGTTATGTAAATGATCCAAATGATGATGATGATGATGCAGCTGATGATCCAGAAATTTGCATATGACAAACATCATTTTTGAACCATTGGATAGGTCAAAGATTTTACTACTACTTAGATAGATGATCAATGATTTATTGAAATCAGGTAGCAAAAAAAAAAATGGATCGAATCTTGTGTATCAATTCAATCGGAAAAATGATGTGTATGATGGTAAACAACAATCGTATCATCAACGGATATTTCCATTTGATTTCCATTTCCATTTCATCATCGTATTTTGTCAACAATGAAAAAAAAAGTTGGTTGGTCGTGGATCAACATTAGATTGAAGAATGAAATCTAAGGAATGATGTGATCAAAAAACAAACATCAATTTGCATGATTGTTGTTGTTGTTGTTTTGATTTGATTTTTCCAAAAAAAATTTTTGTTTTCACCCCATTCAACATTGAAATCCATAATCAAATAGTGAAAAAAAAAAATTTTTTTTTTTTTTATTTTCCATTTGGCAATGATAAACTTTTCATTTGTTCAAACAAACAAACATAACAACATAACGGAAATAGAATTAAGGGAATTTTGTTTTTTTTTCAGTAATCTGGACGGTGGACAAATTTTGTGTATGGGTGACATTTTACAATTCGGAAACGCGAAAATATCGAGGAAAGGATTGTTTTTTTTTATCATATGGGGTAAATTTTTTTTCCTATTTTTTTTTATTGCTATACAACACAATCATTATGGTTGACGAAATTTGAAACCAATCAATTGATGACTATCGATAAGATAATCAGTATAATTGGCTATAATTTGATCATTGGATATATGTTCGGTTGTTGTTGTTGTTGTTGTCGAAATACTTCTTGGTCTACGACGGCGATATGAACGGCTTAAACGGAAATGACGATAACAGGAAAGACGATCAGCATTTTTCCAGAAACGATACATATATTCACTATTCTTGGCACTAGGACATGCATGCATTGCTAATGATGTTTCCATTGTGCAAACATCGGTACCGCAAAAAAATTTAAAACGAAAACTATTATTGCGTCGTATTTTTCCATAATCAGCAACAATGCCGGTAAGGAATAGATCATCGATATCCAGAATCGGACCAGGATATGTGATGATGGTTTTAAGAAAACTTTTCAATTTATCCATCGACAATAGATATGAGAAACCAGCAAGAAATTCATATGAATCCTTTGGATAAAGATGTTCAGGCATATGCCATTTGTGGCCATTTTCACGATTAGCTGGCGTAGTCATGACCAAACCGGTAAGACCGGATGGAATTTTCCGTTGCCGAACCAATTGATAGAGCATTGGCATATTCAGTACAACATCATCATCGGTTTTCACCATATACGGACTATTACTACAATGACGATATGACCATTTCAGTAATGATATTGCTTTCAATGTTAGATTATAGTAGTCTTCAATGAAATTGAATTGCAGAATATCATGATTTTTATCGGCTTCCATTTTCAATGATCTTTCTATGGATAAATCACGTGGTACACCCATGACGAATAAAATGCGCATTTTATATTTGTATGCTTCACGTGCCCATGTACGACGTATTACTTGACGACGATTGAAATATTTTCCACTTGTCGATGCAGCCGTATGTATGAATATTGGTGTTTCATTTGGATAACAATCACGTTGTTGTATCACTACCTGATTGGTCAAAGCCATTTCTGTTGATGAATGTTCATAATTACGACAATCGATCAATGATAATTGAGATGATGATAATACAATCGTTGTTATCATCACCATAAAAAGTGATGATGACCATTCGTTGTTGATTAACAATTTATTGTTGGCCGCCATTTTTTTTTGCAATCAAATAATCGGTTGAACACAAAAACAAATACACGGGATAATATTCACGACAAAAACCGAGAAAAAATTATTTCAGAAAAAACACTATGAACATTTCACTTGTAAAAAACAGTTAATGTTGAAAATATAGATGGATGGACAGTGTAAAAACAATCATCAACAACAAAACAAAAACAAAAAACAAAGGGTTAATTCTGATTCAACAAACGAGCAATGATGAATGTTGATAAAAAATTTGCTAAATGTAGTCACTTTTTATATGATGCGATCGATCGGATCGATCACCCCCACACAGTGAATGAAAAAAACCACCGATGCATCATGAAATATTGAATGGCAGATATGAATGATGAATTCAGATGATGACTACTGGATGGACAAAACAAAACAAAACAAAACACGGTATCACAGAGGTAAAGGAAAAAAAAAAAACAAACAATGAAATGAATCAACAACGACAAAAGAAACAATAAGAAGAAATGGCAACAAATCATTAAACATTGTATTAAATTCTTCTTCTTCTTCTTCTTCTAGAGGCTCTCATTTATTCATCATCATCATCATCGTTTGTTTGTTTTTTTGCCCCCACTTTCATTTTTTTTCTTCAATTAAAACATATGCACCACACACACACACACACACACACACAGACTATTAGATAGATAGGTAGGTTGGTACATTACCTGTGTGTAGATTTTCTTTTCACACACCACACACACAATACTTTTTTTCATGTCCAAACACCAATCATATTGCACAAATCTTTCATTGCCTTGGTCTCTCTTCTTTTGTTTTGTTTTTTTTTGCCACGCTAAACATCCGACACACACACAAATTAAGTATTTATCTAACATCGACATTATGAATGACATTGATCATTTATCGATAATCATTGATTTTGTTTATCAAATCAGATCGTCATTTTTTGTAACAAAAAAAAAAAAAAAAAAAATACATGATTAGTGTGGATACATTCGAATGGAATCGATAGGTTTTCAAATTCCCAATATATTAATGACCACTAAATCATCACGACACAAAGATGAATCTAATAAATCACCTTGATGGAAAAAATTTTTTTTTCTTACATTCGTGGACAATATCATTATTATTATTAGTGGCCCATTGTCTTTTAATAATAATTCTTCACTCTCATCATATTGACCTATGAGCTGATGTATTTATTCTCATTATACCTGTGTGTATTTTGGGATCAAAAAAAAGAAAAACCTTTAATTTGTTCAAACAAACAAAACGATAGCCAATTAAGAACGGATTTGAGAAAATCAAAAAAAAAAACAAAAAAAAATCGAAGACATATTTTTACACACACATATGTTGTCAATGATGATGATGAACGTCATTATTGAATGGCCACAAAATTTTTTTTCAGTGCACGATTTTTTTTTCTATACCACCAACAAAATCATCATAATCACACAAATCATCATCATCATCATTTATAATTGTTTAGATTGTCGAAAGAAACAAAACAAACGAAAAAAAAATTCATTGTCATGTGTCTGTGTGGGTGGGGGTTAATAATCACAAAAAAAAACTCAATTTCATTGACATTTGAATTTGGTGGTTGGGACGATAATTGTGGTGGTTGTTATAAAAACAAAAAAAAATCATATATGCATGGATCGATGACCCATCCGGAATTTGTCAATAATAATGAATCAGTGGTGATGATAAGTTTAAGGTGGTGGTAAGTCGCTCTTGAATAATGAATGAATGAATGAATGGATTTGCGTTCGTCAAACACTCATTACGCATATTAAAATGGAGAATGATGGACAAAAAAACATTGGCCATCATGTGTCATCATCATCTGTGGAATGAAATTTTCATTCATGTCTATAATAGAAGACAAAATGATAATGATGTTTTCGATAAACATAATGACAACTGTATATAATTGGCTTGAAATGAAAAATTTCGTCCATGTTTTTATAATTGAATAAAATAGCGTTGATGATGATGACATAATCCAAAAAAATGGTGATAAAATTTTTTTTTTTTAAATTTAGAAAAAAAGCAAATAAATTAAAAATTTTTCAAAATTTCAAGATTCAAAATTGTTGTTGATGGAAAACGGTTGACCACTGCATATTATGGTGGTTCATTCTTCAAGGATTCTTGCAAGCATTCTATGGCTACCATACAATTATCAAAAAACACACGCACACGAAAAATTGTAAATTCTTGATATTGTCCTATTTGTAAAAAACTTGTTGATCGATAATTATAAACAACAACAACAATAATCGATGTTTATTTTTTACATTTAATTCTGGATCACACACACACACACATGGTATAATTAATAGCTTTTAAATCATGATTTATTTTTTTTTTCGCACCTTTTTCGCTATTGTTTCATTTATTTTTTTTTTTATCACTGGCTCAATAGTGAAACAATTTGTAACAAAATTTTTGGCATTCGTTTTTTGCTTTGCTCTCAATTATCATCATCATTATCATTATCATTATTATCACCAACGAGAAAACAAAAACATTGTCACGGACAGTAACAACAACATGGACAGATAAATAAGGCCAATAATTAAATTCCATTGTTCCATTAACAATCTTTATTGTATGGAAAAAAAGAGAGAATCTCGTCTCTCTCGAGAGAGAAAAACTTTAATTTCATTTCATTTTTTTTTTGGTTTCATCATCCAAAAAAAACCACAATAACGATAATTTGATGGAAAAAATATTTATCTTCAATAAAGAGACACACACACACAGACAGAGACACAAATCCTATTCATTAACTCTAGTTGATTGCTTCATCATCACATATTTCTCAATACCGCGTTAATTGTTGGACTTGTTGGACATTTGGATACGATGATGATGATGATGAAAAAAAAATCGACAACAATTAACAACTTGTCAATATCTAGAGTTGTTGTTCGTAATAATAAAAAAAAAACATTCATCAATAAATCAATCAAACGATTAATAATCAATCTTGATTTTAAATGATGATTTTTTTTTTTTTTTTGGATAAAATCACACTTGAATACTCATCATACACACACACACACGATTTTCGGCTGTTGTTGTTGTTGTTCAATTTAATCAATGTGAAAAGAAAAAATGTTTGTCCATGAAATAGAGTCAGTAAGAAAGTGAATGGTTCTGATGAATGGATTATTGGTGTGTGTGTGTGTGTGGATTAGAGAGAACAAGAAAAATTTTTCTTCCCCAATGAGAGTGAGACATTGTCTGCTTTTTTAGCGATTCTCGAATCGATACATTCATCAAATTTCATTTTCATTATTTCACTTTACTTTCTCTTAGTGTAATCACACTTGAATTTTTTTTTTTTTTGCAACTTGATCAATGTGGTTTTCCTTACATATATACTATGATATATGTGTGATTGATTGATTGATTCACTTGACACACACACACACACACAGGGTAGTAGAGACTTGAATGTAAATTTTTTTTTTTCGTGAATAACCAAGTATCATCAAATAGAAAAAAAAAGAAGCAGAAGCAGCAGCAGCAGCAGCAATAGTAGTGAAGGGATAATGGCCTGACACTTGACAGTTACTTGTCAAAAAAAAAATCTGAATAGAACAAAGAAAGATTTTAAGACAAAAAAGGATGCGTTCGTTTTTTGTTTGTTTTTCTATGATGTGCGTGCGTTTGGAGGGTGAAAATGAAAAGTAAAAAAAAAAAAAAAAAAATCAAATCATCTACCTTTGTTGTCATAGTGGAACATTTTTTTTTCTTCTTTTGATGTCTCAATTGTGTCTCGAAACAAACGAAGAAAAAAAGGGTTTAGATTGAATTGAATAAAACACACACACACAATAAATCAATCATCAAAATGATGCATCCGATTCATTTGATTGATTGATTGATTGATTGGATGATGAATTTAACAATCCAAAATGATTTTTTTTGTTTGTTTTAAAAAAAAAGATGCGAGAGATCACGACAATTTACACTGATCGATGATGATGATGATGATGATGATGGTGATGAGGGAGAAAAAACCAGAAACAAATTGGCAAAGAAAAAAAAGAAACAAAAAACTTTTGATGATGATAATGACGGCATTGTCCTTGCAAAATATCAATAGGAAATACACACATACACACACAGGATTAAAACACATACACACACACTTAGTGGAAAAAAAAAGAAAAAAAACGAAGGTCAAGGTTATATATAGCGTCGTGCATCCAAACCATTTACTATTTTTTTTTTTATTTTTAAGGTTTTAATCAAACAAAACATAAAAATGAAAAATTTAACATCTTCGACTGACTTTGCCAGCTGACTAACTGACTGACAACTTGGCAATGGGCGAATTTTTGAACAACAACAACGGTAGTTTCAAGTACCAGACAATCAATTAATCAACATCGATCGAAAAAAGAAGAATTTTACAAATCTACATCGATGATCATCATCATCACATTTAAAGCAAACAAACAAACAAATAAAAAAATTTCCCACCAAAATCAAATGAAATATAATTTGTTCATATAAAACGTTTGTATAATTTTTGTTTATTTAATTTTAATCATCATCATCATTTTTTATTGAAAAAAAATAATTTCGATGTACGATCACGAATACCACCAAATACAGGATTACGAAACTGTGTATTGACATCTTTATATAGGGGATTTTGTTGCTAAATTTTGATTTTTTATGAATACAAATAAATTATCAATATATGGACATTGATTGATTTTCGAAACACTTACCAATGCAAAATCAGCTTTAGCTATTTCACTCTTGAATCTTTCATATTCACGATGATCTAAATAGCTGGTTATACATTTCATAATGATTATACCGATTATACCGGCAATAATTACTGTTACAAATGAACCAATTGCTACCTGTGTAGCATCGATACGTATTGGACATGCTTCGGTTATATTTTTCAATATAAAATTCAATGGTAATGATTGTTGTAGTTGTTGTAGCTGACCACCAATGTTTGTTGCTGTTGTAATAGTGACCATATTTTCCAATTCAAACAAACTTGTTAAACTATTTTCTGTTGGTTTCAGTAAACGATAATCAAATGCAACGACACATCCATTCATAATTTGTGAACATTGAGCCTGGAACCATGTCAATTCATGATTTGATTCCAACAAATTTGGCCATGGATCATCCACATTAATCACGTTGTCTTGATCATCCTGTTGAAATGACCATTGATAAGATGAACACATTTTCTTATCACATTCCGGTTTTATGGTTTCGTTTTTATCAATATCAAAATAGTTTTGGCAAAATTTTTGCTCGTAATTCGGCACACATGTACGAAGCAATTGACAATGTTTTTGATGATCACATTGCGCACAATGTTGACATAATCGTCCCATTGATGTTGGTAATGAACATTTACAACGTCCACAATGGCAATCACCCCGGCCATTACATAGTTCACCGGTTTTTATATCCGTCACACAGGTACTATTCGAGATTGGACAATCACAAAATGATCCTTGAAAGCCATCATCGCAAATACAACGTGATTGTAAACATTGTCCATGACTGCCACATTTTAAACCATTTTTATAGCATGCAGATTGATCTTCTTGACAGAATTGACCGGCAAACATTCCATCACAGATACATCGGCCACAAACACAATGACCGTGTCCATTACAAGGCCGAGAATTACCTGAAAAATATCAAAAAAAATTTAGATTATAATTCCAATAAAAAAATCCAAAAACTCAACTATCTGGTCGACAATGAGCATCAGGACGTCGTGGATCAATCGGTTTATCTGGATCACATTCACATTGTTTTCCTGAACGTATACCATTACATTTCGTACAAATACCACAAGAAAATGTTCCATTATTCGAACATTTTGGTGAATCCAATTCTGCCTCGTATGATTCACATTCACAGTGACACGTTGAATTTAGATGAATTTCAATTGCTTCATTTTTGTTCAATAAACCAATTTTGATGATATTTTCACCATCAGATGATTGTTTCGGACAACTTGTCACACGAATTTTAATATCAAATTCAATTTTTGCTTTACCGAAAAATCTACATGTCGATGTATGACGCAATGGATCACCTGGTACACCACAATTTGTCCATATCTCAACATCAACATTATCAGGTTGTTCTTCAATATTCAATTCAATTTGATTCGATATATTTCGATAAACATCATCGATTAATTCGGCAATAGTGTCATCATTCACTTTTAGACTTGCAACACGCGAATTGACACCGATTATATTGGAAAGAACTTGATATTTCTGCGAAACCATATCACTAACTGTGAAAACTAAATTGAATTTTTTTTGCTGTGCCACTTCCGATATATGATGCATCGATGGATAATCCTTGGATTCATTCCAATAGAGAAATGAAATTAGAAAATAAACAGAATCAAATGGACAAAACCCTTACATAGATGGTTGAACCAATATATCTACTGTCGGAAAGATGACATTGGCCATCATTAGGCAATAGAATGCCTCCTAGTTTTCCATCACCGGCATAATGAAATTCTTCATCAGTAGCGACAACAATGATTTTATCTGAATGTTCACGCCATCCAATTTCTAACAAAAAAAAATCAATTATCAAGAAACAACATCATCGTACAACGAACCTTCTGGACAAACCATTACTTGCATTAAAGCATCCAATGTACCTTCAGGTGAATCAAGATTTCCGGAAATTTTTGCCGATTGTACTTTATGTTCAAATTCACTGGTATTCGAATTCAATGGCATATGATTGTAAAAGCTATATGTGTTGACCATCGGTTGTTTGTTGCAATTGATTTTGGAACTAAATTAACAACAGTTTTCAGCATTCAGTTTGATTTGGCGATATAAAACAACATACTTGAATTTATAATTGGAAAATGGAATCGTTTCTTTATCCACATATGAACCGAAACCAATGCGAAAATCTTTGGTAGTTGCTTGAATTTTCGACGCCAATTTTCTACCGACACGTGAAACACTGGTTTTATGTTTAAGCATAGTACACGAGATGTCCATCAAATAGTAGAGATCCATTGGATAATCTTTGGCTTGTTTGAATTCCATTTTAACCGTGACAACCGTTCCGATTCTTGAGTTAATTCTATAGATTAATTTGAACGAAAAGTTTTCGTTAATAATGGAAGAATGTTATGCATCACTCACCTGATTCTTTGTGGCCGCAATTGAATAGTTTGTTCCATTGAATCGGAAAATGATCGATTTTCCAAAACATCAACCGTAGCTATTTCTTGGGGATTTACCTGATATTTTTCTGGACATTTTTCTCGATCAAACCATGAACTACATCGATTATTTTGACCATTAGGATTTTGATTCGTATTCAAATCGAATTGTCCATTTTCCAATCGACACCAACGACATTGATATGAAATCGATATACATTCACTACATGTTCGTGCTGTTGAACAATTATTGTTGATATGATGATTTTTCGGTAATGCTTTACATTCAATGATGATTTACAAATTTTTGATTAGAACAAGATCATATAACACATGAAACAACTTACTTTGAGCTTGTATCATCCAGTGTATTTTCAAGAATAAAATTGAATAACCAAATAAATGGATAATCTTCATCATCATCATCATCATCATCAAGAATAATTCATTCAAATTCAAACGATAAACAAAAAATGGATTCGAGTTGGAAAAATGTCAAACAAATAGAATAGACGATCGATTCACATTGTATAAACATCCTGCATTCATATCCTGTGATGTTGTCGTTTTGTTTTTTCATTTTTGTTTTGTTTGTTCTTGGCCAATGAATCCATCCAGGATGTCCACACATTACATTACATAACACAAAAAAAAGACCAGAAAAAATAATTTTCGAAACAAAAAACAATTTTTCAATTTGACATGGCTGCCATCTAGTGACGGATTATAGAATACATATTTTATTCAAATTTTTTTAACAAAGTTATTATTATGACAGTACAAACAATAAAAAAAAATGAATATTTCCTTCAGATTGGGGGTGTGTTAAAGATTAGTTTCAAACATTGGTAATTTGTTGATACCGAAATCAGCTCTGCAACAAAAAAAAAGAGAAATGAAAATTAATTCTATTGATGATGATGATGAAATAGGAAAAAAAATGTACAAACCTGAAAACAATATTGGTACCATTATTATTACAAATAATTGAAAATTTACATTCATTTAGATTATTATTTTTCGAATCATTATGACGATATGTCGGCACATAGGTGGTTACATTTGGTTTCGTTGTCGTATGAGTAGCAGATTGTGGCAAATCATCAATATAATTCATATCGATCAATCTAGAATCTGTGGTTGTTGTTTGAGATTTTTTCGATGACGTCTTTGGTGGTTCATTGGTAGATGATGGAGCTATTAGGAATAGAAAAAAATTTTATTCACAAATCAAATTCAAAAGAATCATCAAAACAAACTTACATTCATTATATCTTGTTGTAGATGTTGTCGGTTTACGAGTTGTACTTGCTTTTGTCGTTATATTCATTTCATTATTGCCAACATTCTCAATCAGAGTTTCATTATTCATTACCCAGATATTGTCTGGCGAAGAATATTGAGGTGTTTGACGAAATGATTCTGGCGGTTCAATTAGATATTGTCGTTGTGAATGTGATGAATCATGTAATAATCTTTCACTGTGATAACCTTCACTTGTCACTGGACTTTTTGCCATCGGTGGTGGCGGTGGTTGTGGTTGTGGTGGTGGTGGTGATGATGATGATATATCTAATGAACTGAATGCTTTATTCGATAAAAAATCATCATCTGTTTTACCATGTAAATCATCATTATTATTATCGGTCATCAAGATCGAATGCTGATTGTGTTCGTATTGGAAATATATGGTTCATTTTTTGATTCGGTGATACATTATTCATTTGTTGTCGTCGTTGCAGTCGTTCTTTTTGTTCTTGTTTTTGTTCATCATAATCATCATCGTCATTGGCTTCTTTTTTATCATTAGTTGAACCACCACCGGATGTCATCATCATCAATGGTGGAAAACATTCATTTTCAATTTTAATCATATCCATTGGTAACATATGTTTTGTATTACGTATTTCTGTTGTACGACGAACTTTGCCATCATGGTCAATATCAGTTTGAATTATTACTTCTCGTTTCGTCGATTGATTGCCATGTGTTTTTCGTTCGATAATAATTTTCGATGTAGAATGCATTCCTTTTTGTGCGCTAATTGGGGTTGTATGATTATCTCGTTTCATCATCATAGCATTTCTTTGGGTTTGTGTTGATGAATTTGTTGTTCGATTTATCGTCGTATTATCGTCTTCCATCATTCTCGTTGGTGGCAAAAGTTGTTGCGCTGATCGACTTCTTGATATAATTTTATTCCTAATTAATGCACGGCGACTAATTTCATTGAAAATATCTTTTTCAAAATCATCGAAATATGTATCATCACTATCGGAATACATTTCAACAATTGGTTCCGGTGTATGTCGTCGTTGTTGCGGTGATGGTATTCGTGGTGGATTTAGATCGATCAATATATTATCCTGAAACGGTTTATTATCTGCACAAACATGAAACGTGTTTATTGTTTTGGCCACCATTGGTTTTTCAATAATCGTTGGTAAATCCACAACATTATTCTCCTGATTCAATTTGGATTTCTGTTGCTGATTATCATTGAAAATTCGGTGTTTAGAATTGGTGGACAAACCAACATCATCATCAGTGGTGACACCTTTTTCTTCAAAAGATTTTTCACCATCCGAATCGGTTTGTATTTTAACCGATCGACTTATTGTAGTTGTTAATCGTCGTATTGGATCTTTCAATTGTTGACTATTTCGTCGTCGTCGTTGTTGTTGTTGTTCACTGTTCATTGTTGATTGAAATGAATCGATAGGATAACCAGAATGGGTTTCCCAATATTTAAGTAATTTATTCATGAATCTTTTTTTTGAATAGAAAAAAACGATTAAAACACAATTAGCACAAGTAATGTAAAAGCAACTTACGTCATATCGATATCGGTGTTTTGTGATTTATCGATTAAATCACTTCTTTTTCTAATTCTATTATTGATTGGTGGTACATATGTTCCACCACCTGATTCATTACTATGAATTGGAATTTTTGATGTAAACAATGTTTTTGTCGTTGCCGATGGAGATGATGATGAATCCATTTGTTTTTCAGTCGTATTTCTTAAGGCAAATATATCATTTTCAAGCCGACGAATACGATCAATAGTTGATCGTGACATATCGTTGATTTCTTCAAGTTTGGAAAGCCATTCATTAAATCCTTGTTGTTTTTTAGTCGTCGTCGTCGTTGTTGTTGTTGTTGCTGCAGTTGGATCTTGATTTACTGGTTCTACAACAGTACGCATTGATTGAAATGTTGGTATTCGTTTATATTCTGGAAATATTGAATTTTGTTGTTGCTGTTGTTGTTGCCCATTATTGCTGGGTTGGTACAATAAATTGTATGGATCGGATATGGATCGTTTCGATTTATTCGACATTGAAGCAGCATTTGATTGACGTGAAAAAGTTGTAGGATTTTCTTGGACATTATCATCATCATCGATTGAATCTCTGGATCTGGTACGAATCAAATGTGCTTTAAATTTTGATCCATCATCACCATCATTTGATTGATTTGATGTTGATTGAAACTAAATTGGAAAAATTTTTTTTTCGAACTAAACAAAAAACAAATCACAAATGATACTTACATTCTTCGTCATTTGTGAATGGCCAACACTCGATTCTTGTTGATCGAATGTTGTTTGATCCATTGTTGTTGTTGGTGTCGATTTCTTTTTACATGAAGGAAATCGTCGTCTTCTTTTATCAAAATGATCTTTTATATTTTGCATTTCACTGAAACACATTTTCAATTTATCATGCATACAAAATTCAATATCATTATCATTGGTTGGATTATCACCAGCCCGTGATTGATGAACATCCTCATCCTCATCATCATTTGGATTATTATTATTATCAATTAAATTGGTTTTTAATTCAATTTCCTCTTGATAGAATGGAAATGATGGATAATTGGAATTTGGTACTGTATGACGTTTTTCCTTTTTATGATGCATAATAATTAATGATGATTAATTCTCGTTGATTCTTTAGGTAACATCAATAATCATTTGATGATGAAATTTTGTACAAAATCAAAACACAAAAATTGATTTGCCCGAATGGTTTGGATGAATGAATCAATTTTGATTCCATCCATTCGAATGTAGACATTTTTTGTTTTACTGGCTATACACTTGATTCGCGAAAAAAAAGCAAAGCAGGTGCACGGAAAAAGAACCGCGCCACCACCACCATCATCATCATCATTGGCAATATGATTTCTATACATGTTGGATCACGCCATTACAATTAATCCATTACATTTGGTTTGTTCTATAGCAGCCTGTGTTTGTATGTGTGTGTGTCGAATAATGTAAATATTATTTAAGAGAGGAAAAAATGTTTTGCACGTTTTTCAATTTTTGTTTCTCTTTCTCTCTATATTCCTCAGTTGACCATCCAATACTACATCAATATATTGTGACTTATTTAAACATTTTGACACACGTGATAATTATATATATATAGACAAGCCATTTGTGTTGTCATCTGTGTGGTCATCAACCACCAGTTGTTGTTGGAACATTTTCATATATTTTATGGCGTGGCATACACGAGCGTGAACTCTGACTTGTTAATCGTAAACAATGGCATTGCAGATGTAAACAGGTGTTTTCCGCGATAAAATCCCGCATGATCATCATCATCATCATTGATGCAACAGATTGATACAGGAATGGCATCCCATACATGGTGAGCAAATGTCTTTCGAAGTAAGAAATTTATTATCATCATTTTTTTAAATTGAAAATCAATTATCATTCAGACCAAAAAAAAATCAATGATTTCCGATTTGATTTTTAATTTCAAATCATAATCAGACCATTCAATCATGAACTGATTGTGTTTGTGTGTGTGTGTGTGTGTGTATCAACAATTACAAATTGAAAGTTTTCCATATTAATTACATATATATGGCACAATTATTATGTTTTTGGCATTAAATTGGAAACAATTTACGACAATCAATGATCATTGATTAATAATTTGTTGACTAATAATAATTATTTAATGATTTTAATACATACATGTGACTGATGCATGATGTATGTACGATTGAATGATTGCCATTGATCAATCGATTGATTGATTGATTGATTTTATTGATATTTTTGGCATATTAATTGATAAAATAGCAAAATTTTATCAATAGCAATGTACCATTGGATAGATGAAGAAAAACCATTTTTTCAATCAAGATGTTCGATTTGATAAAAATGAACGCGCCATCTGCGCCATATCATCATAGCGATATATTATTGCTCAATGCACAGATTTGATTTTGAATTTTGATTCGAACGCGAAACGAAATGAAACGTGAAACACAGAAACATTGACAACAACAACGAAAAAAAAAATTCAAGGACAAATCAGGATTTCTGTGATTTTTCTGTTTGATAACTCAAAAATCAAATGAAATGAGATTGTCTTGACAGAAAAAAAACGAAGAAGGAAAGACATCAGCAACAAGGAAACACTCTAAACACGTCATATATCCAATTAGTGGTGGTGGTGGTGGTCATATTATCTGCTGGTTTGTTTTTTTTTCTCCATAGGTACATGATGTACACACACAAACATAAACAGAAAACATTCGATCGGATGATGCGCTTTAATGATGATGATGATGATGATGATGTCCAAAAGTAAAAAATGGGGGGTGGTAACCAAACAGAAAAAAAGATTAAATCAGATTCGGCAACGAAATAATGTGTATTAACAATTTGTCGCATATTTGGATTTGTGGATTCGATCAATTCGATTCAATCAATCAGTGGCCATTTGATTCTTTTTTTTCTGTTTGTTAAAACAAGCTGTTGTTGAATGTTGTTTTGTATTTTCAAATTCTAATCCTAAATGAATCGTTTCATAATTCGAAACAATTTATTTAAATATTTTGATTATGTTCCAATTCGAACAACAAAACAACGACGTCCACATGTATCACGTAAATTATTTCATTGATTTCATTTTTCCAATCTAAAAAATTTCAAATTTTTTTTTTGGACAATCAAATCTATATAGATCCTGCATTATGGTATGAAGACTATCCAATATCATTGATTGGTACAAGACAATCACCGATTAATATTAAAAAAGAAAAATGTATTCGAAATCACCAGAAATTAGAGTTGCCACCATTGCAGATACAATATCCACCGATTTTTAATGGTCTACGTATTCGTAATCCAAAAGATGATACATATTTTGGTTGGCGTGTTGATGTTCCATATGATTTTGGTGATCAGGCCAGTATGTTTTTTTTATTGCTGAATGTAAACACAAAACATTTAATCATATGATGATCATTGCAGTAATTGCAGGTGGTCCATTAAATCATCGTTATAAATTGATACAATTTCATGCACATTGGGGTAAAGATTGTAATTGTGGTTCAGAACATATCATTGATGGTAAACCATATTCAGCTGAAGTAAGTGGTGGTTTAAATTTACAAAATAATCAATCAATTGACAATTGATTTTATAGTTACATTTTGTACATTGGAATTTTGATCTTTATTCCTCGGCACGTAAAGCAGCCGTTTCGAAAGATGGTCTAACGGTTATAGCGGTTTTTCTTCAAATATCTCCGGATGCTAAACCTTTATCATCATTACATAAAATTTGCAACGAAATTCCCAACATTAAATATAAAGGATCAATGAAAGAAATGAAACAACCAATGAATATAATGGAAATGATACCGAAAAATCGTTCATATTTCACATATTTAGGATCGTTGACAACACCACCATTATGGGAAACCGTTACATGGATTATATTTGAAGAACCAATTTATTGTACAAAAGAACAATTAGATGCATTTCGTATGATTTCTTATTATCAAAAAGAAAGCCTACAACAACAACAACAACAAAAACATCGTCATCATCATAAAAATTCATTGGATGAAATCTATAATGTGACAACTGTACAGGAAAATTTTCGACCAGTACAACCATTGAATGGTAGACAAATTATTCATGTACGGAAATAATAGGACAACATAGTGTTATTGAAATGAATTAATTTTTTGTTTATTAAAAAAAACAAATGATTGTAAATCAATGATTATCTCGTTATCATTGTGTGTGTGTGTGTGTTATGGACAATGTTTCAAATGTTTTAGTGTGAACAACTCGACTACATAACCATACAATTATTACGATTTGATAATTTTTTCGCATTTTGTCTTTCCGATGGTATCACTATATAACGAACGGCTTCTTCGAATACTTGTTTCAAACCACGTTGTGTTAATGCTGAACATTCCATGTATTTTATAGCTTTAATTTTTGTGGCCATTTTTTGTCCTTGTTCACGACGTACCGGACATTGACCAGATTGTGCTAATTGTGATATTGTTTCACGATCATCGCGTAGATCGATTTTCGTGCCGACTAGAATTATAGGAACATCATTACAATGATGACGTATTTCTGGTACCCATTTGACAGCAACATTTTCCAACTGGTAACAAGAAAGAAGATGAAAAAAAAACTTGAAAAAAATCTGAAATCAAATCAAATGAATGTGAAAAACATACCGACGGTGGTGAAACAACGGAAAAACAAACTAAAAATATATCAGTCTGTTGATGGAAATTATTGAAAAAAAATTATTAAAATTTCGAAATGAAACAAATTTGTCCTCACCTGTGGATATGATAATGGTCGTAAACGATCATAATCTTCTTGTCCAGCGGTATCCCATAAACCTAATGAAACTGTTTCACCATTACATGCGATCAACGATGAATAATTATCGAATCTTTATGTGGAGAAAGAAAATTTGTTTCAATTAACACAACAAAAAAAAAAAAAAAACAGAGACAAAACACTTACACTGTGGGCACATATTCTCCTGGAAATGAATCCGTCTATTACAAAAATGTCAAAAATAATCAATCAATCAATCAATCGATTAAAAAGTGAAAAATAATTTACCGTAAATGAAATGAGCATACAGGTTTTCCCCACCGTACCATCACCGACAACAACACATTTTACGGCACGTGTAGCAGTACGTCTTTGTTGAAGCATTTCTTTGCCTTGTAGATCCATTTAGTAGTAGTGAAAAAAAAATTGACAAAATTCTGAATAATGTAAAAAACGGTGATTATGCAGAAAAAAAATTGGCGAGTATTACGAATGGCTTTGGTATGAGAACAAAAATGAGTATTGTTTCCAATAAGACAAAAAAAAATTCAACTAGATTTGACAGTTTCAATAGTGATTGATTGATTGATTTTTATCTGTATCACATGTGTAGTATATGATAGTAAATTGGACAAATTTTCATCAAAATAAGGCGTCATAAGTCGTTGATACGATGACGACGACGACGACGACGAAAACGAAAACGACCAATGGTGATTATTATGAAAAATTTCATTTGACTTCGAAAATCGTTGCCAGAAAAAGGCCACGAAAATCAGCAATGAGGCCAGAATATGAATTCTTTAATGGCAAATTGAATCAAAATATAAACAACCACCAATTTGGCCATATGTTTATTTCAATTAATTTTTGGACATGTCTGTGTGCAGTGAGTGTGTGTGTGTGTGTGTGTGCACACTTATGCACACACAAATATAAAAATGTTGTTGCCAATGTAATGAATATTCAGAAAAAGTGGAAAAAAAACAAAACAAAACAAAACCAGAATTTATTGAATGAAAAAGAGAATGAAAGTGACAAAAAAAAATTTTTTTTGATTGAATTGGGCGTGCACACATGGCATTGAGCAGCAGTACAAAGATATGGCGCCATCTATTGATTAATGGTACAATTTGTCATTTTTATGTCATTCATAAAATTTATAATGAAAAAAAAAATTTCAAGTCTTTACCAAAATTCATTCATAGATGGCGCACATTAAAAATTAATTAATCAACAAACATTTATTGTTTTCACCACTATTGATTGATTGATCAGATCAGATCAGATTATTATTATCGTGGCCATCTAAGTTGTTAAACGAAGAATGGAAAAAATAACGATTAATTATCCTGATGATGAGAAACAAAATTAATATAATTCTGCAGAAAAGACCATCAACTATTATCAACCGATTCAACCATCCGAAAAATAATCGGGCATTTTTTTTTTGCTTCTTGTTGTCACCATTTGATTTATATTTAATATATAAATGAACGGACAACAACAACATCGTATAAATGAAATGAAATGAAATGAGATTTTATCAAATCACATCATTGGTTGTAATGTGTGAAAATGCCAAAAAAAATTGTTGGAGATGTGTCCAGAAATTGAATTTATTGAACACCCCTCGAGGTGTTGTCATGATCATTTCAATTTTGTTCGGAAATCTAACGAAATCTAATTCCAATGTCGAAATAGCCATGATAACAAATTAGCCTGCCGAAATCGATAACGGATGATTGTACGTGGTAAAAGTTGGAAAAGTTTTTTTTTTGAACAATTTTTTTCGTTTTGAATTGAATTGAATTTTTTTCCTGCTGCTGTTGTTTTTTTTCACAAAAAAGAAAAAACTTGAAACATTTTCAATTGTCAGAAGAAAAAAGTTTTCAAATTGAAATTGTTTTTCGTTTCGTTTCAATATATTCTCCAAAAGTTTCTGGTGGCTAAATAATAATTTTGATTAATGGACTTCTATTTGCACACAATGATTGTTTGTAGTCGAAATAGATACGATACATTCGAATGTTTACAATTAAAATGGTTCTTTGTCTGTTCATTATTGATTGATCGGAAATTTGAAAACAAAACGGAACAAAACAAAAACAATATCATCACCACTCATTATGGATCAAATAAACAACAACGACCGGAAATGAATTCCATGTATGCAGATGTGATGTAATGATCAAACACCAGATGTGTGGCATGATTATCATCATCATCAATAAAATCAAAGCCGAAAATGCTTTCATCATCCTCATCAATGTATTTTCATTGGCCCCAAAGATGTTTATTTATACTTTGGATGAAGAACCACCACGAAAACAAAAAAAAACATCCTGTGCCTTTTCCTGATTCCCGAGATTATGATGACATACGTACATTTGTGATTTTTTCTATCGAACAGACAAACAAACAAACAAATACCATATAACAACAGCAGACAAGGCAATGTATTCATTCATTCATCTTTAGATAGTCATTATTTGATGAATAATTTTCTTTCTTTCTTTCATTTTGTTTGTTATTATTAGATGTTATTCAATGAATGAATCAATCAATGAACTAATGCACTATGATGTTGATGAAATGAAAAGAAAAACAAACAAACAAACAAAAATCATCATCATTTGGGCAACAATCCAATAATAACGATGTTTGATTGATTAAACACAATGAATGAATGAATGAATGGATCTTGCAAAACAAAATATGAAATGGAAATGGAAACCAATCACATCCATCTATCAATATCCATCGATATACGATATATTGGTGCTCAAATAAGAAATCAAATCATAGAATTCACTACCTATATATGAGGAAGGATTAATTATTTTCCAATATATGTCCAGAATAATGATATAAACCGTTTGCCGTATTATTTTCATTTCATTTCATTTCTTATTCCATCATCCTTATCATCATCATTTTTCGGAAAGAAAAACTTTCTGATGATGATCCAATCAATCCAAACAACATAATACATCCCCATAGGATAAAGAAGTGAAAAAGTAAGTTTTTCTTTTCATCTTTTAATTATTACAATGGACAAGTTTTTTCCATCAAACACTGATGCCAATTGTCTTTTTTTTTCTTGGTTCTCTCGTCTAGTTGCTACTTTTTTCTCTTATTTAATTTTCTTTCTCTTTCTCTTTGTGTGTATGTTTTTCGAGAGCAAACAAAAAACAATTGTCCAAGTTGCTTGCTTGTTGGCAATTGTTGAGAATTAAATTTTAATTAAATAATTGAATTCCAAACTGGCCAGTCAACAGAACATGGATGATGGCTATGGTCATCGAGTTTGTTTTGTTTTTCTTTTAAAATTAATTAACAACAAAATTGAATTTGATCCATATGGTCAAATTGACAATTTTTGTTGTCATATACCGGGACAAAAATGTGCAAAAAAAAAATCTTTTTCTTGTCGTATTCGCTCGACAGCACAAAACAACAAATGTCAACTAACTTGGCCATTTAAATTTGGATATTTTTTTTCTAAACTGAAAATGACAGCTTTGTCATCACATACACACACACAACCCATCATCATGCTTCATGCTTTATTTTTGTTTTTGTTTTGTTTTGTTTTGTTTTGAATGTTTCTCGTATCTTGACACTATACCCAAACACACACACACACACACATCTGTCATTATAGATTTTCATCTTTTCATCATACTGATGATGATGATGATGATCCTATCATCTTATGTGACAGAAGAAGAAGAAGAAAATATTATATAACACACACACACAGAGAGAGAGAGAGAGATATATAGATAGACAAACGTCACAGTTTGTCTTGACATTTTTGTAAGATAAAGATTTTCATCCATCCATTTATACATCCATGTCTGGTGTCTGCTGATTTTTTCCCTGTTGTTTATAGCGTCGTTTATTATTTACAAACAAAACCGAAATTTTTTAAAAATTTGAAAAAGTTTTTTAATTGTTTTTGTTCTAGTAGTGTTGATGTCTCTGATCTATTCTGGTCAGTGTCCTTGACTTTTGTTTGTTTTTTTTTATTTGTTTGTTTGTTTGTTTGATGAATAATCTAAATATTGACACACAGACAGAAAAATATTATGCAAATAAAATGCTTCAGTTGTATGAATGTTCTCAATTTGTTTTTCAAAATGTACATCATGCACAAACAAACATGAACACATATAGACAGACGATTGATTAACGTTTAAGGTTTGTTGTTGTTGTTTTTCATTTATTTCAACAACGGTTAAAACTTGATTCATTTTGGTGTCGGTCCATAAAAAGAAACATCGAAAAAAATGTATGAAATGACCACACACACACACACACACTGAGAAATGATGATGGCCATGATGATTCATTGGAAAAATTATGATTATGATAATCATAATAATCCAGGACCACCATCACTATAATGATTATTTCGAATGTTTGTATTTTTCTTGCCGACAAAAAAAAAATATTATCATTGGCGAAAGATTATGATTTTTGAATCCCAAATAGAATATCATCCGAAGATTTATTTTATGTTTGGCCTGTTTATATTGCTTTTTCTAACACTCGATTTTTTGTGTGAAAATTAGCTTAATAAACTGAATATATAAATTGGTTCGAACATCATAAAATGAAACAACAACAAAATCTAAATCTAAACTGGCCGGCCAAAGATTTGCTTGCTTTCTGGCATTTTTTCTCGATTTTTTTTTGCCTTTAGCTGCGATGATGATAACTATCAAATGCTAATTTTTGTTCAAATTGATCGCTTCTTTTGATTTTTCTTTTTTTTTCTTAGTTAGTTTGAAATGTTTTTTTTTCAATGTTGTTGGTTAATGTGTTTCATATTAATGTTTATTAATCACTTTTGGGTGTTAGACACTCTCGTCTCGTACATACACAGAGAGAGTTTGTTCACGCCAAAAATTTTTTTTTGTCGGGGGTAGAGAAAGAAAAAAAATGCATAATTTTTCCAATAAAAAAAAATTCAAATCAAAAGAATGTGGTGATGTAAATCATCATCATCAGTTGGGTCGAGAAAAAATAAAGAGAGAAAGACATAGCCTGATTATCATTTACTTCCATATAATGGAGGGTACTACCATCGGGTATCTTTTTCTCGTCGAATTTCTAGTTCTATCAGTTCTTTTTTCTATTTGGATCGACATCTGAGCAGCAGCAGCAGCAACAGCAACAGCAGTAGCAGCAGCTGAACAAAAAAAAAAATCCAGCAACTAGCCACAACAGCCAGGCAAAGAAAAAGCAGATGTTCATTGATAAATCTTCTGTTTCGTTTTTTTTCGATTCGTTTCTCAATTTGACAATATTTTGTATGGGACAGTTGTTCTTTGCTTCATTTTCATTCTCCGGTATTTTTTTCATCTGATTCATTTTATTCAGTTTTTTTTTCATCAATTCTACTTTTGCCTATTTCATTATAATTCAAATAATTCTGGTATCTGATTCTGTGTGTAATAAATACTGCTTCTGCTGCTGGTGGTGGTGGTGGTTATTGTATTCTCTGTGTGTGTGTGTGTGTGTGTTTGCAACAACATTAGCAACAATCGACCAAACCAAAAGAACCAGACCATCATCATCAATGGTATACCACACACACAACCAACCTAAACTAAAAAAAATTCAACACAGACTCACAGTGAATGTATGTATTCCATTGGAATATTCTGAATCTGATACATACACATGGATTCGACTAACTTTTTTTTTCTACTGCGCCGATTCATTTCTCTCTCTAATGCAACAACGACCAGATATTGAACCAAAAAAAAAGAAAAATTTCTACGCGCGCGGTAATTGTATCTAAATGTTTCCAATAATAAAAAAAAACAGAGAAACAGACATTCTTCTTGCACCAGCCACGGTATTTGGTTCATGAACAGAGTGAACAAAAAAAAAATTTTTTTTAGCTTTATC